AGTATTGTTGCACCCCTAGTAGCTGGTACTCTGCTGGGGTATGTCTTGATGCATTCTCAATCATCCAGGAAAGTAAATCTCCAAAAGTTGATTCTGTTCATCTGGACGTAGCGTCCAGATGAACAGAATCAACTTTTGGAGATCTGCTGGGGTATCTATCAGTCTCCTTTTTACTCTGTAGCTCTGCCAGAGCAACTGCATGCTTGATTTATATAGCGCCACCTACCTGCAGCAAAGCTAATCGCTACCTGAGCACGGAAAGGACAACACTGCTGTGCATGTGCAACTCTGCACTGCAGCATGAAGAAAACTAATGTATACTGAGCACCCAGCACAGCTGAACTCACACACACAGTGATGTAGTCCATGGATATAAGTGGGATGGGTAAAAACGAATAAAGGCTCAGGCACACTAGGATAAAAGAACACCCACTCCGTGCAGCTTGGAAAAACGGGTGGCTTTTTGGAGTTGGTGACTGATTGCGAGCGGTTGCAGCAGCCGCTTTTGATTACAAGGCAACAGCTCGGGTCACAGATTAGAGAAGGTTTCAGATTCAAATCATACAACCAGGTTAACATCGATGAGCGTGTCTCATCTACGACGCGCCTCTGTGACTCGGTTCAACTGGTTTTACTCCCATATGAAAGTGAGGTAGCTGAGCACCTGTGCTGCCGTCCTGCAACAACTATGTCACAATTTCTGGAGGAATTTCTGAATCTCAGCTCTACGAGGTCCTGGCTGGATGCAACACATGTGCAATATTGTGCAGCTTCGTTGCAGTAATTCACTGTCTTATCACACACAGATTGCATTTAACTGCCACTTTGAGCCCCATCCGACTTCACTTCAGATCACAACTTCACTGCACACAGTCACAATAACGTTGGCTGCGCTGCGATGTCCAAACCCTGCTGTGACACTTAATCCCTGCTTTTCAATGTGTGACGAAACTGACCAGAAACAGCAGGTTAATTAACAGCTGGGGTTTCTGTTTTTTACTTTATCTGCTCAAACCACTAGAAACTGATCATTTATGTTTCTTTAAGAAAATGTCGATGTATGTAGAAATTCTTTAATTAACAGGTTGGACCAATTTCCAGATGTATTTTTATCACATGAGTCACTGTAGGGCTGCACGATTTTGCATAAAATGAGAATCACGATTTTTTTGCTTAGAATTGAGATCACGATTCTCTCACGATTTTCTTTTCCAGTATAAATATTTATTGTGCTTATTAACTGCACATCAACTTCGTAACAGTTGAGACTGAACATAAAAACAATAAATAAACATAAAAACAACTAATGTCTCACATTTTGTCATTGCCGCAAAATGTTGTTCTGCTTGAACTTCCGTCTCCACTGTTGCTCGACACTGCGTGTATAGAGCAGGTAGTGCAACAATAGAAAAATAGTTGCGGGACGGCACTGTGTAGCGTTTGTCTAGGGTGTTGATCATTTTCCTAAATCCCTCTTTTTGCACAGTGTTGATGGGAGCCATATCTTTGGTCAGGTGATAAGTAATAGCCTCCGTAATTTCTTTGTGCCTGCGGGAGTTCGACGTGTATAGGGAAGCGCTGTATAAGGTTCCCGTTATTGATGTTTGGGTGGTTGACCGGGACGGATTTTCTCCTGTCACTTTCTCGTCATCCCTGACGTGCTCTCCGTTGTTTTTTCCCTGCCAATTTTAGCAGCCAGCTTCTGTATCACGTGGTATAAGGCTCCGCCCTTGTCATTTGTTGAGCAGGAAGAGTGAGCGCTTGTTTTCATGCAGATTACGTCCCGGATCAAAATGCGGTACAATCGTCGACGTCTCTTTTTTAAAAAATTTTTTAAATCGTTGTCATTTGGAAATGAGATCGCACATAAGTATGAATCGAGATCGCGACTTTCTAACGATTAATCGTGCAGCCCTAAGTCACTGTAAGGTTTCTCAAAAGCACCAGGTCCTTGCTTCAGTTCGTCCGATGCAGTAATCTGTCAAACGGTCTTGGGATCGTTACCACACTGAAAGCTGGAACACTGTTGGAGCCATTCCCATGAAAAGTACCTCGCAGCCTCTTACAAACATGATGCGTACATGTAAAATTGTACGGCGCATGTGTGCGAGTGCAAACGGAGATGGGATGTACTGTATGTGAGTGAGTGTGTGTCCAGTTTCCCAAGGCTTTTTCAGATACCACAGCCAGACCTCAAAACTATCATCACTGTTCTCGCCTCCATCTGCCAAAGTCATCACCCACACAGACACCATCTCACACACACATACACACACACACACACACACACACACAGAAGAGGTGTGAAATAGCCATCCTGCAGTATTTTAACAGGGGTGGGAACCCGACTATAAACGCTCTAAACTTCTGTCATTCCACTTAGCTTGCCTCGTCTCTCTCGTTCTTTCTCTGACTAACATCCCCACACGAACATTTGTTGGTCTGCTGAGGTGTCGTAGTCAGAGGCTAGAAGGAGCTAGTAACAACTAGTCTGTGTTTTTACTGCCAAAGTTTACACTTTCATTTTCACTTTAAAAAAAAGTTTTATATTTAGAGATGAGGTTATGATACACTGATACCCAGCCTGCTAAAACACATTACTGCAGCGCTGTTCATCTCGGGAAAGCAATGAGAAAAAATGACACTGAATAAAGTACGTGTGGATGAGTAAGACATCAGACATGAGCGGGAGGGGAGGGAGAAGGTCCCGGGAGGGGAGAGTCTGGGGAAAAATAAAATGTTAAGATAGCGAAGGAGCGAAGAAAGAGGGGAGAATTAAAGCTGAGGCCTTCCTGAAAGAGAAAGCGGCAAATAAAAAATAAGATGCTGAAAACCGGTAGTGACTGATGATAGCCGGAGAATGTAGTTTAGCTGTGATTGTGTTTCACATTGAGGTTAACGTGTTTAAATAGCCAGCGAACAGCTGCGCCTTCGTACATGCTCCCAGCAAATTATACTTTTTGCACAACTGCGGCCTTCCAGGGGCAGCAGGATATCTATCTGAGTGAATCAGAAAACACATAATGAGAAATAAATGGAAATAATCTTTCAAGAATTGATTAATATACTCGGGAAGCTGCTATTGTTCTTGCTGTTGGCTAATGTTAGCAATATTTCATGCTGTCCAGGGAGCAAAACAACAAAATGCAGAGCAATATAATAAAGCACAGTTGAGTGTTTATGCTTCCCTGTTTTAAACGTGAGCAAAGTTTTCGGCGTCCAGAAGGAAAACTGAAGTCTAACACTTTAGGTCGCTAATAAAACACAAAACTATTTTCTTAAATCTTCTGATAATTTAATGTGAAATTTCATAGAAAGCTGTAGAAGTGGCCCAACAGCTAGCTCACTAAACCCGCTGACACATCGCAGGCTCTCAAAAAGCCTCCGAGCACATGCTGAAGTAACAGCAGTTTGATGGGGGAGCAGATCGGTTTCCAAGCCTGTACACAGCTTGTTTTCCCAGGGGAAGGGGGAAGGTGAGGTCCTGGCTGAGGCACAGCCCCCAGAGACGATAGGCTTAATTACAGGAAGAGAAAAGAAGGACGGCAGAACACACAGCACTGATGTTCATACAAATGAAGGAGAAGATGCTGTACCTCGGTAAGGAGGCATACTGGCGTTCCACCTCTTCATAGCGTGGTGTCAGACGGTGATCTGCCCCTCTGCCCGGCACCTGGTGAAAAAAAGCAAACGGGTGGCAAAGCCTTCAGTGACCAAGTCTGGATATTGTTCGTGTAAAACTGGCAGGAGTCTTTCCTTACATACAACTAAACTGCGAGTCTAAGCATGTGCAAAGCGCACTTTCTTTGCATGTGTGTGTGTTTGTGACACCGGAGTAATTTAGGATCGACAAAGGCCAGTTATTAGGGATTTAGAGTTTCGGTCTTCTGAGGTTTTTCGGGGGGTGGGAGGGAGGTCTCCATCCTAGATTAGGTTACTTCAAAACAGGATGGAGTTGTCTAGCTCATGCACACGCACACACAGTCAAAATCACACACAGTCGCGTCTCATCTCCATACTGGGGAAAAAAAAGGAAAAAGCTTAAGTCAAGCTGCTGACAGTTCAATCTCCTGTTTCCTCATCTCACTGGCTCTCTCTGTAACTCTCACATCTCATTTTTTCTTCCGCCAGTTATTTCCATTCCTCTATTTTTGCCTGTTACCCCCCACACACACACACACACACGCTCCTTCAGAGATTATCCCAGTCTATTCTGTGGGTATATTCCAGCTGCTGGGGCGCTCCTAAAACGAGCCGACTAAACCCCAAAAGTCCACACACACACGCACAAACACACACACGCCGGTTATTCATATCTTGTGGGGACATCTCATTGACATAATGGTTTCCCAAGCCCCTAACCATGAAAATGAATGCCTAACCCTGACCCTAAACCAAACCATGACCCAATTGTAACACTGACATTTGAGTCTCAAAAATATATTCAAACTTCCATCCATCCATCCATTCGCTTCCGCTTATCCTTTTCAGGGTCGCGGGGGGCGCTGGAGCCTATCCCAGCTGTCATAGGGCGAGAGGCGGGGTACACCCTGGACAGGTCGCCAGTCTGTCGCAGGGCTAACACACAAGGACAGACAACCATTCGCACTCACATTCACTCGCACATTCACACCTAGTGGCAATTTGGATTATTCAATTAACCTGTCCCCACAAGCTGCATGTCTTTGGACGGTGGGAGGAAGCCGGAGTACCCGGAGGGAACCCACGCAAACACGGGGAGAACATGCAAACTCCACACAGAAAGACCCCCGGCCTGATGGTGGAATTGAACTCAGGACCTTCTTGCTGTGCGGCAACAGTGCTAACCACCGTGCCACCGTGCTGCCTTATATTCAAACTTGTCCAGGATTTTGGTCCCCATAAGGGCCTTTCGTTCCCACAAGTATAGTAAACGTCCAATTTTTGGCCCCCACAAAGATATTGACACACACACACACACACACACGTTGGTTATTCATATCTTGTGGGGACATTTAGCTGACATAATATTTCCCTAGCCCCTTACCCTAACCTTCAAAAATAAATGCTTAACCCTGACCCTGACCCTAAACCTAACCATAACCCAATTGTAACCCCGACACTAAAACCACATTTTGAGTCTCAAAAACGCCTTCAAACTTGTGGGTCCCCATTAGGGCTGTTGGTCCCCACAAGTATAGTAAACTTCCAATTTTTGGTCCCCACAAAGATATGAATACACACTCACACACACCCATATGCACTTGGTCTCCGTCAGCAGCCTGGATGCTGTTGTGTGAGGTAAGAAAGCGTTTAACATTAATAAGAAGGAGCTCCTCCTGTGTGTGTAATATTGAACATGTCGTCTAAATCACCTTCACCCCTGTAAAATTCAGCTTTTGTGAATAATTCACATTTCCATTGGATAAAATTGCGTAACCCGTAACCATTACTGCGCCGCTGACGAGACATTACTGCACGTCATCTGCACATTTTGAAGCCATAATATTTTGTTACAGTAGGGTGTACAGGCCGTTCCCACACAGTGAAAGAAAGAATAAGAGGCTTTATACCAAAAACAACATAACAGAATGAGGGTGAATTAAATGTGTATGTCCCAAGTGATGGAGAGAAAAGGCTGATGGTTTTACAGAAAACTTATTTTCTCCTCGTGGAGCCCAGAATTAGATATTACAGACCGCAGCCTTTTCTTCTTTTTCTCTGCCTCTCTTCTTTCTGCATTCCAGGGAATGATGCCAGAAGGCATATAAAACAGATTTGCTGGCCCGGCTTTCTTTTTGAACACCTGTCTTTATAGCTTCAATATCTCAGGTAGAGAGACAGCGGGATATTATGAGGGAATAGAGAGGTGGAGCAAAAGAATGAAAAGGCATTAGGAGGAGAAGAAAGGTGGAAAGAGAGATAGAGCGAATGAGAAGTAAATGAGTTAGAGAGTAGGCAAGTGTGATATAGAGAGGGGGAGTGATATTATGAAGCCATTGAGCGGTGGCGAAAGGGGAGGGGGCCGAGATGAGAGGTGAATTATAAAACAAGGGAGCGAATGGGGTGAAGATGAGGGCGACAGACTGGAGAGGTGAAAGGGACATTAAAGACACGATTTAAACAAGATGTTAAAGAGGAAACTAGAGACAGGTGAGGGTGAAACACTGCATCAGCTCCTGGAGGCTGGAGTTAAAGCTTCCTAACTTCATCTATTTCAGGTGACTGAGCAGGATGCTGAGACTGCGTTTGCTGTCTGCATCATCTTCTTTTCTCCTTTAATGCAGTTACAGGACGAATGATATGGTGTGCTGTGAGGTTAATTGTACAAATGGCCCATGTGAGAACTCTGTGCTCCACTTTTGGAGAATCAACTTCCTTTACTCTACTTATCTGTAATTAGCAACCCGGCCACAAGCACATGGTGCACTCCCAGTGCCGGTCCCAAGCTGGAGTTGTGTCACCCAGAGTGAAGTCTTTGCCAAATCAAACATGTGGATCATAAAGAACGACACTTCAATACCAGATAGGTCAGGACCCGGGTTAACAACGACCACTTCTGGTGCTGTGAGCCAAACGAGTGCCGGAGGAAACGCTGCTACTGTGGACTGAAGTTAACAGAAGAGAAAAAAGGGAGATGTGGTGGGAGTGAGTGAGAAGGAAAAGCAGGAGGTTGGAGATGAGAGTGGATGATGAAGATGGAGCTGCCAGGCTGGAGGAAAACATTACAGAGGAGGACATGGAGAGGGTTGGCGTGACAGAGGAAGACAGACTGAGGTGGCGACCTCCCTTTAGAGGTCGCCACAGCAGATCTGCCGAAAGAGGAAGACTAATCTCTAATTAGCACGCATGTGTGAACCAATACAGTCTATGGATGCAGCCGTAGCAACCAGGTACCGCGGCCACCTGTGCCATGCATGAAAGACGCTGACTCGATTGCAAAGAGGCGCGACTACTCTTCACCAAAACTGTGAAAAATGTAATAAATAAAAAAGCAAACTTGGCCGTTTACTGTTCTCCTTTTTAAGCTGTTGTTGAATTTGTGACCTTTTATTACAAATTAAAAGCTTCGTCTTGAAACTGTAGCCAACACATTTCAGTCATGTCTTTGATACAAACTACGGGTAACCGTGGCAACTGTGTAGCAACTGAAGTAATCATAAGGAGGGTCGCCCACTGGTCTCCGGGCCTGTGTGGCGGAGGGATGAGGTGGAAAGCTACCAAAATATGCTTATAACAGCAAATCAGCCAGAGAAAGAAGAGCCCAGAGTTAGTTTGTGGACTGACTCACTGGAAAAGACTAAAGCTGTCAGTATTAGTCTGTCTGTAACTGTAAGACACAGAATGCTAGACGTTAGTAGACAACTGTGACAAGACTGCAGGGC